TAGATAGTAAGTGTTTGCTTTAAACTACTAAGGTCAACTAATACAGAGGGTCACAATCCATATCTAAAAAGTAAAATGTACAACGTATGCATTAACTGAAAAGATTTGGACTGTCTTATTTGGTCACCAAAAATTTCAAAACCCCAAGGCTTTCTAAAGCAAAAGACAGAGAACTCAAAGGATGAAAAACTCAAACCAGGCATATGACGTCAATTCAGATGCAGAAATACAAACCATGAAGTGCTAGTAAGAACCTAGCCAAGAACTCTGACCAAAGGGTAGTTCACGATGAGCAAGGAACTACACGTCCTAGCACACTGCAGAAAAAGTCCTCGCTTTCAGTTAGGTCTGGACAATACGGAACTCATTGTCTCTAAAAACAGCACTCTCGGGCGGACCCCGGCGCCTGGTCACGCCCTGTATCGCCTAGCTCCTTGGGAGCCCGAGCCGGCGGGCGGACGTGTTGCTCAAGGTCCAAGGAGTCAAAACCAGCCTGAGCAGAGAGCGAGACCCCGCTCTACTTACTAGAATAGAAAAGAAATTATTGGCCAAGGCTGATATATTAGATAAAGAGAAAAAAATGTAGGCCGGGACATGGGTGCGCATCTGCCGTAGCCCAGCTACCCGGTTGAGCTGAGGCAGAGAAGGATCACTCTGCGAGGGGCAGGATTTGAGGTTGCTGGAGTTAGGGACGCCACGGGCACTCACTCTAGCCTTCGGGCACACAAAATCGGGGGAGGACTCTGTCTCAGAAAAGGAAAAAAAAGAACTCTCAACAATAAAAAAAACAAAAACAAAGAACTCGTTTCTGATATATACGTATATTAAAAAAACTGCAGCTAATGCTGGCCCAATAGTAAACGCACTTAGCTGTCTAGTTCTACTATGGCCAATTAATGAGATGCATACTGCCATATAAGTAGGTAATTGGATTTCATCAAAGCCTTTACAACACCCCAGGCTTGACAATCTTCTAATTCCAACTCCTGCTATATTCTGGGAATACATTCAACAACAGAAAAGATATACTGTCTACCTTCCCGCAGCTGTTGAAGTCATGATTTGCCTCCAACGATACAGAATCTGTTTTTCCCAGATAGTCTGCTGACAGTGAGGCAATTCCATGATAACAAGAGATAGTTCTCTCTAAATTACTTTAGTACGGTACAGCCTTTTGACACCAATAAACTCGCGCTTACCATATCGCTCATTAAGTATTCAATACATCACAACGGTTGCTTATGTGAACAGCAGTCGAAAATTTTTATCACTCAGCTAGGTATAGAAGTTTGCTAGAAGCAGCAAAAGATATAACAACAATCGCTCGAAACTGAGAACCTCACTGTCATCAGTAAAATAAAGTAAAAAAGGCAAAAACAAAAAGCATATGTTATAAGCAAATGTAAAGATATACAAATACATGGGAGACTGAGGCAGGAGAATTGCTCTAGCCCAGGAGTCTGAGGTTGCTGTGAGCGAGGCTGATGCCACGGCACTCACTCTAGTCTGGGCAACAAAATCAGACTCTGTCTCAAAAAAAAAAAAAGATATACCAATATAACTGAAAAAAAAGGTTCTATCTATAAAGGATTGCTTATTTCCCCATCCAGAATTACATTACCAGTATCTACAGCAATGACCCTTTGTGTGCTTCTGTAAAGGAAGCTATTGTTTCATTTAACTGGTGTATACCAGTTCAGCCTGTCTGTTCTGATCAAAGCAGTTTACAGCAATTCATTTGCAATTCATCATTAGAAGAATGTTGTCATGTTAATGTGAGAATCACTTTGTTTCCTGTTTAGCAGAGCCCCAATAGTTGGAATCCAATTAAGCAGGAAAGAAAACACCGATCACTTCACATGCTTAACTGACAGCATTACTTTCAACTCTAAACTAAAAAATGGCAAATAAGTGCCTGCGCCTGCAAACTTTTAAGTTCTTTAAGAAAAAAGAAAACACCACGATGCGGCAACACTGGAAGCCTCATCCACTGGCGGTGGAATGTAAAATGGTGCAGCCACTTTGGAAAACAGTCTGGCAGTTCCTCAAGAAGTTAACACATTGCCAAAAAAGGTTTTTCCCCAGGGGCCATAGTGTTTTACTCAAACAAAACAATGCTTTCTAATCTGTTACATTTTCGGTGCATGAGTTAAATGCAACATAACTTACATTTTTAGAATTAAATGGTCAATGTTAACTGTAACAGTAAGAACATCTACAAGTAAAATTTTCAAGGAACTGCAGGGTTTTACTTCACAAGGCCCTGGGCTCAAAACCAGCTGAGTTAAATATAACTCACAGGTCAGTTAACGTCTTAAACATAGTTATCATATGACCCAGTAATTCTACTATTAGGTGTATTATCAACAGAAATGAAAACAAATGTCCGCACAAATACTTGTATACTAAGGTTCATAACAGCCAAAAAAAAAATTGGAAACAATCCAATGTCTACCAACTGATGAAGGGATAAATCAAATTTGGTATATCCATACAATGGAACATGATGCAGCAATAAAGTGCTGACACATGCTGCAACATGGATGAATCCTGAAAACATTCTAAGTGAAAGAAGCCTGTGACAAAAGACTACATATTTATGATTCTACCTATATGACATGTACAAAACAGGGAAGTTCACACAGAAAGTAAATTAGCGATTCCTTGGGAATCACTTATTTGGTGGTGGGGGAGAGGAGGACTGCTAATAAGATTGGGGTTTCTTTCTGGAGTGACAAAAATGTTTTAAAATTGATTGTGGTGCTGGGCGCGGTGGCTCACGCCTTTCATTCTAGCACCTCTGGGAGTCCTAACCAGGAGGATCGCACAAGTTCAGGAGTTCAAAACCAGTCTGGATAGCAACCAGACCCTGTCCTCTACTATACAATACAGAAGAATTAATTGGCCAACTAAAAAAAAATATATATAAAATTAGCCCGGGTCATGGGTGGACATGCCTGTAAGTCCGAGCTACTCAGGAGCTCGAGGCAGGAGGATACGCTTGAGCCAGGAGTGTGAGTTGCTGTGAGCTAGGCTGATGCCCGGCAACCACTTCCTACGACTGGCCAAGAGTGAGACTTCTGACTCAAAAAAAAAAAAAAAAAAGATTGTGGTGATGGCCGTACAACTCTGCATATACTAAAAATCACTGAACTGTACACAGCTTAGATGTATGATTTAAGCATATATCTGAGGCCAGGTGTGTGGTGGCTGATACCTACAATTCCAACAGTTTGAGAGGCTGAGGTGGGTGATCACTTGAGGCCAGGAGTTCCAGACCTGCCTGGGCAACATAGCAAGACTCCGTTTCTACAAAAATTTCAAAAACAAGCCGGGCACAGTGGCACAAGCCTGCAGTCCCAGCTACTCAAGAAGCTGAGAAAGGAGATTTGCTTGAGCCCAAGAGTTTGAAGTTGCAGTGAGCTATGATCAGGCCACTGCACTACAGCCCGGGCAACACAGCAAGACCCTGTGTCAAAAAAATAGTAATAATAATATCCGAATAAGACTGCTACAAAAATATAAAGCAAACAATTTTTTCCTTAAAGATAATATAGAAAACAATAGCATTATGTCTACCTAGCCTCATTCAGGTCTTAAGTGGTTGAGTACCAGGAAAACGCACGAACAGTTCAACCAACTGACAGTATTTAAATCCACTTCCTACTCCTTTGCACACAGCTTATAGCCAAGCAAGCATGTGCCCCCCCTACAATCCCCTAGCCACAACTTTTTCCAAAGTTCACGGACAATCCTTATGCTATGTGACTTTGAAGAAAACATAAACAAAAGCCGTTAACTGCATACAGACAACATACAAGCATACCACGATGGAAAACAGGTGTGAGCAATACCTTCATAGGAATCGTTTTGACTGGAACCTGCGAAAGTTAAAACACAGAGAGAGGAATAAGCAGCAATCAGGTTACATCTCGAGTTTTAGCTCTAAAAATAACAAGTAAAAAAAAGAAAGAAAAGAAAAAAAAAGAAGCAATCAGGTTAGGCCTAGAAATTTGGAATCATTTTCTACGAGCTAGACAAAAGATTAAAACACTTCTCTGGTTTTTTTTTTTTTTTTCCAGTTTAAGCCTGGAGTCGGACACCTCCCTGTTTCTATTAAAAAAAAAGACTTCCAACGTTAGGCAAGGAGGAAAAACAAATAACTAAAAGACACTGACTATGCTGAGGGTCTCTATTTTCCAAAAGTAAAATAAAAACTATGCCCTGCGTTGGCTCCTTTTCTTTCTCCCAAGAAAACTGTCGTCTCCTGCCTTAAACAGCTTAACTAAAACATTATCCCAAGCGCTTCCCACTCTCGCCCCGTTCCCAACCGACACACGCCCCTGCCCCTTCCCTCCGGCCCCCAATGCTGCTTTTTTACGAGTCCCCAACGGACCGCAAGTTTCCCACGGGCCTCACCTGATTCCCTTCCTTAATTCCCCCACTGCGGCCAAGCTGGGCTTCAGAAAAGGGTTCGCTGAGTCGAAAGGCGGCGTTTCCCACCCCGCTGTCTCCATCCTCCCAGCCGGCCAGGCCAGGCGCCCTTGCGCCACCTCTGCACCAGAAAGCTGCAAGACAAAAACGCATCCCGGGAAAAATCATCTCTTTCTGGCTCTACTTTTGACTTCCACGTCCCCAGGGCGGCGCGTTGACCCCGTCTCCCATATCCTCTCCCTCTGGTCCGTCTCAAACACCCCACCTGGAGCCCTACCCGGCGTGTTCCCGGATTCATCCCGACTCTGGCCCTGCCTCTCTGCTCCGAATTCTCACCCACGGCCCCGCCAGAAGCAGGATGGCGCCGGATGAAACCAGAACCGGGGAAAGAAAGAGGTAAAAGCAGGCCACGGCAGAGCCCACCAGCCATACTGCAATGGAGAGGGCGGAGCGACGCAGTGCGCATGTCACCGCTCTGGCCTTTCCGATTGGCTGCCGTGACGAAACGTGGGCTGTGATTGGCTGGGGCGCCCAGCGCGGCTCCCGCGCAGAAGTCCCGCGCCGCTAAGGCCCGCCTCCCCTGACGAATAAAGGTCGCCGCCGCCCCCTCGCGTCAGCAGGCGGAGCCAAGCCGCTCGCGATTCTTGCCGTCGCGGAAAGCCCGAAGGCGGAGCCCCACGGGAGAGGAAGATGACCCGAAGTTGCTCGGCAGTGGGCTGCAGCACGCGGGACACGGCGGTGAGCCGGGAGCGCGGCGTCTCCTTCCACCAGTGCGTGTGAGAGCAGCGCGGCGCCGGGCGCGCTGCAGGCCGGGCGGGGCGTCGCGCCGTGACGTCACGGGACGCGACGCGCGTGGGGGCGTGGGAGCGGAAGTGGGAGATTTCGAGTTGAGGTTTGTCTCTTGCTCACTGTTTACCTCCCAATTCCTGGTTCTTTCTCGCTGCCTGCCGCGTGCCTGATGGCATTTTCTTTTTTCTTCGAGACTTCTCGCTTCGTTGCCCGGGCTGGAGTGCTTTGGCCTCGTCAGAGCTCACAACAGCCTCCAACTTCTGGTTCAAGCGACTCCAGACCGGGCCTCCCTCGAGTAGTGCTAGGCATGCGCACATGCCTGGCTAATTTTTTCTATATATTGTTTTGCAATATTCTTCTTTTTGCATAGAGGGTCTCGCTTGGCACAGCTGGTCTCAATTTTCTGAGCTCAACGATCCTCCGCTCGCTTTCCCACATCTGGGTTACAGATTGACGCCATGCCTGGCCAATCATTTTTTAATCCAACCTTTTCTGTCTGTTCTATGAGACCTGCATTGGAGTTACAGTTAAGCACTCTCCAAAGGTTGCAAATGACATATGTGCCCAGATTTTATTTACCAGATAGATCTGTTTTGATTTGGTTTCTTGGGGACAGCGTTCACCTTGGTCCAGGCTAGAGTGAGTGCGTCATAGCTCGTCCAGCAACCTTCCACTCCTGGGTCAGCGGATTCCTTCTGCCCTCAGCCATCCTCCTAGTCTGGGATAGCATGCGCCCCGCCGCTAATTTTTCTCTTTGTTTGTAGAGTTGGTCTGGCTATTGGCTCAGGCTGGCTTGACTCTGCTTCAAGCAGTCTCCCGTCTGCTCGGTGGTAGTGCCTAAAGGCTTTTTGTTAAAGAGAGTTACTGGAAAGGAGTCCTGCTCCTCTGGTGGTTCCTTGTATTAATGGCAGGGAGTGGAAGGGAAGGCGTTGGGGGGGGGGGCAACTGTGAAGGCTTGCTTTCATTGAGTGGGTGGCCTCATTCGGGCGTGATAAGGATTTGGGGTTTGTCTGTATATGACCCTTTGCAAGGTGGTGAGTGCCATTAGCCAGCTCAACAAGGCGGGTCCGATTTTATGGTTTGATCTGGCCAGGAGTTGCTTTGGTCTCGAGTGGGGTAAAAATTTAAAGAGTCTTATCTGCTCCCTATGGGCCATGCTAGTATTGGGTGCAATTAAATCATGCACAAGTCTTTCCAGGAGCAGGCTGGGGGTCGCTCAGCTGTAAATCCGCACTTGGGAGTCTGAGGGCAGGGATCACTTGAGGCCAGGAGTTCCAGACCAGCCTGGGCAATTCACAGTGAGATATGTGGACAAAATAAAGTGGCGGTGGTGGGCGCTTTGCCTGTTAGTCCCCGCTACTTGGGGCTGAGGGCAAGGGGTCACCTTGAGCCCAGGGTTTAGAACTGCAGTGACAGCTTTAGATCATGCATTGCACTTCAGCCTGAGTTGACGAGCGAGACCTGTTTCTCAACAAAAAAAAAGACTGCTGGGAAAGAAAGTGACCAAATAGTTTTCCTCACGCCAAAAATTAGGTGGCCGGCCCGGGCGCGGTGGCTCACGCCTGGTAATCTGCTTCTGGGGGACGAGGCGGGCGGATTGCCGCGTCCGGAGTTCGACAGCCTGAGCAGAGCGAGACCATCTCTACTATAATAGAAAGATTTCTGGCATAATATATATATGTATAAAAAAATAGCCGGGGCATGGTGGTGGGCTGCTTGTATTCCAGTATTGGGAGGCTGAGGCAGAAGGGATGCTTTTGAGCCAGATGAGGGTATGCTGTGAGCTAGGCTTAACGCATGGGCCTCTTAGCCTAGCACAACGAGACTCTGGTCTCAAAAATAAAAAAAAAAAATAGGTTGACCTCCAAAAGGGTAAGTCTATTAATGGGCAAGATGCTGGCTAACGCCTGTCTCCTGACTGTGGGAGGGCACAGGGGGGGGGAGGATCATCAGTCCCGGAGTTGACGCCGCAGAGCAGCCGTCTCTACTATAAATGAAGAAATTCATTGGTCACATATATAGACAATTGCCGGCCATGGTGGCACATCCTGTATCCAGCTGGCTCGGCGGGCTTGAGGAGGAGGTCGTTGAGGCCGGGTGGGAGGTTGCTGTGAGCGAGGCTGACGCCACGGCACTCACTCTAGCCTGGGCAACAAAGCAAAATTCTGTCTCAATAAAACAAACAAAAACCTATTAATGAGATGTATTGAGTTAAACGATGAAAAAACACTTTTATGGGAAGATCAAAAAGAGTTTTATGGGTGGAAAAGGGGGTAAGAGGAGAGTAGCACTTTAGGAATAGCATGGAAAAATGTAAAGAGATGGAATGTACGGATATACTGTATAGGGGTGGAAAAGTACTTTGAAGATACATTATTTTAACAATTTAGATACCTGGTTAATGATATGTAGGCCTTTTGCAGTCATTCACTGATAGATTTTTTAAAAATAGGGTTGACTCCTCCACCTGAACGGTTATAATGTGTCCTTTCCTGTTTTCTGTGCAGCTTTTTCCCTGTTAGGTCCCATTCTCTTTATTTAGTTCCCATTCTCTTGATTTCAACAGCTCTTCTACTGTTTACTTGCCTAAAGCCAGTGAGCATGCTTCCATTACTCCCGTTTTTAAACAGGGACACACACAACTCTTGAGCCTATGTGCCCCTCTACTCCACTCTACTAATCTCCTTTGCTTTATACTAGGGCTCCTCAGGCACTCTGGGAGGCCGAGGCTGGCAGATCACTGAAGGTCAGCAGTTCCAAACCAGCCTGAGCAAGAGCCAGACCCAGTCTCCGCTATCAATAGAAAGAAATTAATTGGCCAACTAACATATATATAGAAAAAATAAATTAGCCGGGCATGGTGGCGCATGCCTGTAGCCCCAGCTATTCGGGAGGAGGCTGAGGCAGGAGGATCGCTTGAGCCCAGGAGTTGGAGGTTGCTGTGAGCGAGGCTGACGCCACGGCACTCACTCTAGCCCGGGTGACAGAGTGAGACTCTGTCTCAAGAAAAAAAACGTAAATGACTAAATGTGAGGTGGGACTGGCAACTTAGAAGTTAAAGTGACCCTTTCGTTCGTCTTCTTTTTGTTTTTGTCAGTAAAGGGATTGAGACTTAATTTTATTCACAACCAAGGACATATAATTTGAAGGTGTTTTTTTTTTTTGCCTGCATTGTTAAAATGAATTCTATTTTTAAACTTTACATTATGCAGTGTTTCAGGCGTACTCACAGGCAGAAAATAATACATTAACAAACCCTCTATGCCAATTACTAGTATTAAGCAAGTGTTAACTCTTAGCTTAGTTTCAGGTTTATTTATTTTTTTCCAAATTACAGTACAGGCATAATTAAAGTCTCATTCCTCAATGTTTTCTCTCCCTTCTCAGAGGTAGGCACTGTCGAAGGGGTTTTTTAGCCACCTTTCTGGAAAATATTTAATGTACAAGGAGCTAAAGGTAGATTCCCACAAGTAGTAGAAAAAAGGCATGATCAACAGGAGAAAAAAATGGATTCTATTACGGTGTAAACTAATTTATTGTTGTGTATACGATCCCAAATTGGTTTGGGATTTTCTTGTGCTAGACATGGCTGTAAAGTAGGGAGACATGAATTCCAGTTTCGACTGCTAATGTCCTGGTGGCTATCCTTGGCTCTGGCCTTGGCTTCATCTTCTGTAAGCCATGAAAACCTGCCTTACAGAGTTTTGGTAAGACTAAAATCTGAGTCTCTACATGACACATATAACACAATGTGAACACTTTAAAAGTAGTAATTATTATGATGATTATCAGTTTAATTTTATACAGAACTCAATATAGTCGTGCTAGTTAGACTGTATCATATGCCAGCAATTTTCATGACATTTTACACATAGGCGATACTTGTTGAATATCATACTTTGGGGCAAACCGGTGGCGTTGTTTGGGGCTGGCTTGAAGTGACTAGTCAAGGGCTCCAGGTGTCCCAGGCCACCCATGAGCTAAGACGATCATAGCTGTACTCACCAGACGTACCAGTTGGGATGCTTTGTGTCAGAGGATCAGGGAAGAAATAGAACTTGATAGACTAGTAAACTTTGATGGTTCCTTGCATAGAGACTACCGTGTTTCCTTGAAAATAAGACCCACCCATAAAACAAGCCCCAGCAGGATGCCCCAAAAATCAGCCCTAGTGATGGGCGTGGCTATGAAAATCAGCCCTAGTGGTGGGCGTGGCTATGAAAATCAGCCCTAGTGATGGGCGTGGCTATGAA